CAACTGTGTTCTTAAATCAGTGGCCATCTCACAAACCCGATCAGCAATCGTATTTCTGCTCAGGCTCACATTTGCCAAAATCTGCGTTTTGTCTGGACACAAGATGTCGCACACCTTCATCATGCAGCTCTTCAGAGTGGTACCGGGCTGATTTGGCTTTCTCCTCTGCTACAATAAAACTTGCTTTCACAACAGCTTCCCTTTGTGATTTTGCTCTGGTGAAAAAGGTCTGCTGAAATGTCACATTCTTCTTTAGCTCTTCTACTTTCTTTAGTTTCTGCTCTGCACTTAGGTTTTTCAGCTTATCCTGACTTTTTGTCTCGAAGTGCCGTCTTAAATGAAATTCCTTAATTACAGCCACATTAGCTCCACCAATAAGACACACGGGTTTACCAGCAATGTCTGTAAACATATATTCAGTCACCCACTGCATGGCGCTGAAAGGCTCTGCTTTCAGATTCAACTTTTCTCTTCGCCATTGTGAGCGGCTAGCTTCGCAATAACAGAAGTTTGACTTGATTGATAGTGATGTGCGGATCGATACTGAAATATCGATTCCTCTGATACCAGTCATTTATGTTCTAGAATCGATTCTCACATTAAAATATCAATACTTTAGTAAGATTCGTCTCTTTTCAGCGGAAATTCTGCGGATTCACCTATTTCTGCAGAATTTTCTGCCTTTTCACCTCTTATCAGCACAATTCTCAGCAGCGTCTGCTCATTTCAGTAGAATTGTCAGTCTCTCCACCTCTTCTTTGTGAGAATAAGTTTAGCTCAGTGAGATGAGTATCTGCCTTGAGACCAGGAGGGCCACGTTCGAATCCTGCTCAGGACAACGTTTTTTTTCCACCACTTTTCAGCAAAAATTTCTCCGTCTTTACCCCTTTCAGTAGAATTTTTTTGCTTTTCACCACATTTCAGCAAAAAATTTCTGTCACTTAGTTTTTTCTCATAACCCAGTCTCAATACAACGTGGCAACAGTCACTTTATCCATTTAAAAGTGTGTTTGTGTGTGTCTGTGTGTGTATATGTTTTTGTAGGTTTGTGAAGAGGAAGAGATTGCTGCACAGCAGGCATCACTCTCTGTGGATACTGTTCATTTTGCTGGGAGTCTGTATTGCCATTCAGACCTTTGTCACCCATCAGGCCAGGTAAAGTCCTATTCTCAACACCAATTTTCTCAAACCAAGTGGACTTTGTTATCGTTAATTTTTTTTTTGGACATTTCTTACTGAATCTAGCATTGGTGAAAAATAACTCATGTGACGATTATAAACTTTAAAATATATAATATGGTATCGTCTTGATGCATGCTCAATCATCCAGGTAAGTAAATCTCCAAAGGTTGATTCTGTTCATCTGGACGTAGCGTTTTCAGTGGGAGAAACGTTTCGTCACTCATCCAAGTGACTTCTTCAGTCTCAGCTGACTGCAGGTTTCAGCTTCATCATAATGAAGGAACTGACCTCCCAGCACATTGTTCCCTCAGTGGACTGGTTTCAGTCATTATGCAAATGTACTGTTTTCTAAGATTGGGGAAACCAATCGTTTGAAAACACAAACACAAACACAAATTTTCTCTCCGTTTTGGCCTCCGATCCGAACTGGGACGGCGTTTTCGCATTTTGAAAACGCTCTCGAAAATGCATACATTTGAAAACGGTGCTTTCGTGTTGCAGTGTGGACAGCAAAAACTGAGACTTTTTGAAAACGATGACACATTTTAGTCATGTGATTGTTTCTCAATTTTGACAGGCTTATTAAAGATTAATATCAGTTTGTACATGCTTCAGATAGCTTTTCTTCAAATTCTTTAATTCTCACTCACTTTTGCAACTTTGTACTTTTGTGTTACTCACAGCAACAACCCCACCTCATTGTTAGTCCATTTAAAAAACTTGGTGCTTTTCCTCGACATTTTCCCGCAATGTTTCAAAGAGCCGGAAAGTAAATAAACAGCGAGCAGAAATGAGGCCGGTCGAATCGTCTTGCATTTCACACATGCGCAGTACTGGAACGTAAGCGTTTTCTGCCGTTTCAATGTGGATGCACAACTCTGTGAAAATGACTGAAAACGATAGTGTGGACGCGGAGCGTTTTCAGACAAAGATGCCGTTTTCAAATCTATCTGGGCTAGTGTGAACATAGCCTTAGGTTCACACTGGAAGGCCCAATCACCACGAGTTTTAAAATGAGTGTGCTGTACCACCAGCAGTCTCTGATCTAATGACCTTAAAGCCCGAGAAGATGAATTTGGTTTCAGCAGGTCAGATAAATATTGAGGAGCTTGACCATGTAGGGCCCTAAAGGTTAGAACTAAAATTTTAAAATGAAACCTAAAATTTGCAGGCAACCAGTGAAGGGAGGCCAAAACTGGAGTGATATGAGATCTTGTCTTGGTGCCTGTTAAGAGTTGTGCTGCAGCATTCTGCACAGTCTGAAGACGATTTAAGGCTGATTTGTTAAAACAAGTAAACAGACCGTTACAGTAATCTAAACGAGAAGAAATAAAAGCATGAATAATCATCTCAAGTTCAAGCTTTGATACCATTAGTCTGAGTTTAGAAGTATTCCGTAAATGATAAAAACAGTTTCGGACCAGCTGCTTAGAATGCTGCTCGAGTGACATCGAGCTGTCGAATATGACGCCAAGGTTTCTCAGGCTTGATTTTACATAAGGGTCTAAGAAGCTGATATGCTGCCTGATTTCTGGGACCATGTGGTCCTTTACCTTTCACAGGAAGTTTTCGGCATATAGAAAGTCACATCCTCACTTTTGTTTAAACAAAATTGAAATGTTCCTTAAAATGCCACAGTAAAGGACCTCCAGTGCATTAAAATGTGATGTCAAAAGTTCCTGACCTAGAATCAATAATATAAGATTTGAAAGTGAGGTATTTTATTGTGTTTATGACGTTTTCCAGGAATGGCAAGCTAGTACAACTCCAGCAGATGAAGTTCTCTATCAAGAAAGAAAAAGAGTTTCCTCACATAAGACCTGAAGACACAAGATTACAACAAATGGAACAAACTGCAAATGGTAATCATCAACATGAGCAACATGAAAAGCCTTCATATTCTTTAATCGGCAGGCTTGCAAGCTCTCAACAGGAGGGGAGAAAAGTTACACTGGGCAAGCTGCTTCTACCAAAAGACCGAAACAAACCAAACGTTGACCTTCCATCTTCTCTGGTTTCCCATAGTACCCGGAAAGACATAAATCTAGGGAGAGAAAAAAGACTCACCCGCTCTCCCACTCCTTCCAGTTTTTGGAAGACTCAGAACAATACTCACACTCAAGCAACCTGCAATCCAAAGTCTCACATCGTTTTCCTCAAGACACACAAGACAGCAAGCAGCACTATCTTAAACATCCTGTATCGCTATGGCGAAAGCAGAAACTTGACCTTCGCTCTCCCTCTAAACAAACAGAGCCAGTTATTTTATCCATTTTTCTTTGTTCCACATTTTGTCGAAGGAGTTAGCAGCAGAAGTGTGAAAGAGTTCCACATCATGTGCAACCACATGAGATTTAAAAAATCTGAGGTGAGTTTCATCAGAAATGTATGTAGTTCCATGGCAACCACAGCAATTATATCAATTTGATATGGTTTGGTATTCCAGTCAGCCTGACTAAGTACCAAAATGTGTTAATTGGCCCAAAATAAAAGCTGCAGTACATCCTGTTACAAAGTTTCACATATCAAGACCTAATGAAATATTATCTAATGTACAAATTATCTAAACTACAAAGCAGGATTCATTCTTATACAGGTACCTTAAAGGTTAACCCTGGGTTTGAAAAGAAAATTATCACAAGGGTATATTGGCATGGTAACTCATACTGCAAACCATTTACCAGAGCTCAGCAGGTGTGCACAATGTGTAGGAGAACACAAAGCATTATTTAGCATCATATCATGACTTCTTATGATATGATGGTACCAGGTTACCATGTTACTGTGCTACATGCATGTATGTGTCTTCTTAGTTTTTGCAACGTTTAGACATTAATCTAACACAGTGATACTTGCATTTGTTACAGACTGACCAGAGAGAAGTGATTTTTTTAAAGTTACTTTTTAGACTGAATCTATGAATCTATGATCTAGGCTAGTGTTTCTGAGATGATTAAATTTTGTTGTGGTCCTTATAGGACAGGTACTACAAACCCGTGATTTTATAGACTATTATGCATTAAACATCTGCAGCAGTAACACTAATCCATATAGCAGTGATGGGGAACATTTTTCTGCAGAATAAATACTTTTATCATTATTATACAGTTACATGTGTAGAGAGGTGTCTTGTAGTATCTTATGAAAAACCTCTCTTTTCATAAGAGAGGTGTTTCTCCCATTGCTTTTGCAAATTGGTTCTAATAAAAATCCTTCACCAGTCACAATTTTACACATTTAAAAAAAATAATTTTACAGGCAGGAAGGATTCCAGAATGGTATCTGGTCTAGTTTATCTTATTGAAGACTAATAAATATTTATTTATTTAATTCATTTACTTTTATTTTTAAGGGGTGGGAGTCTTTCACGTCTTGCCTCTCTCTAAAAGTCATCTCATAACACTGCCTTTTAACCCTTCCTAGATTAATGGCCAGGAACAGTTCAAATATCACTCAGAATTTCTTTCCTTTTTGGCATTGCGTGAAAATGCACCTGAAGGCTCGAGACCAAAATGTCTCCTTTTATAGAAGTTCTGACACTTGTTAATGATCATTTAATCACACACTGCATTTTGTTATTGAAATAATGTGACATATTTTGAAATTCATCTGAATTTGTTTTTTTTAATCTATTTTTATGACTTGCTAAGGTTGACAAGAATAAACATATATAGCACATGGATAATATAGTGATAACACTACTGGTCTTCAGAACAACAGGTGTCTGACTGTATAATTTACTATGTATTTCCCAGGTGGCAAAAGTGATGCCTCAGGATACCTTTTACTTTTCCATCTTGAGACATCCTGTGGCTATGATGGAATCCATCTTTAGTTATTATAAGAGCATCCCAGCCTTCCGTAAGACATTTAGCCTGGAGGACTTCTTAGACAACAGCTGGAGAAACTATAATGCATCGGTAGCCAACAACCACTACGCTCACAATATTCTGGCTTTTGACTTTGGCTTTAAGAATAATATTGCAGCTGGTGCTGGAGACTTTGAGGAGAGAACCACTGTGGCTATTAAAACCATAGAACAGGACTTTAATCTTATACTAATTTCTGAATACTTTGATGAGTCCATGGTCTTGCTCAAGTACTCCCTCTGCTGGTCCTTGGAAGATATGGTTTCCTTTCGGCTCAATAGTCGCAGTGAACAAACTCGGCATTCACTTTCACCGAACACTGCAGAAAAAATCAAGAAGTGGAATGCTTTAGACTGGAGGATTTACCTGCACTTCAACACAACCTTCTGGCACAAAGTTGATAGTCTTGTTGGACGACAGAAGATGGAGAGAGAAGTAGCTCAGCTGAGAAAGCTACAAGTCAAGCTTGCAAACACTTGCCTGAAAGATAGATGTGCGGTTGACCCATCACTGGTAAAGGATGCTAGGCTGAAGCCTTTTCAGTATGGAACAGCTGTCATTCAGGGCTATAACCTAAACCCAAACTTAAATATACAAACCAAAACAAAATGTCAGAGATTTATCTTACCAGAACTGCAGTACACACATCGTCTGTACACCAAGCAGTTCCCAAAGGAAGCTGCTAAGCATAAACAGGCAACTAAGACTGTTAAATAATCACCTAAAGAAAATTGCTATGATGGCAAAGCATCAGAAATGGGAAGACCTGAGCAGCTTGACCTTAAGAAGTAAAGTCAGGTCTCAAAAACCAATGGGCCTCCACAAGTTCTCTGTTAACAAAAACACAAGCTAACAATAAAACAAGAATACCACGAGTAATACCTGTGACTAATAATCACAGGATATGTGATATGCTTGAGAAGTAAGTGTTGGGTATTAAAAAAAAATTTTGATTTTTTTTTCTTTTCTTTTCTCTTTTTTTAGTAGCCACGCCAGTGGTTAAGTTGAAAATATTTTCAACTTAAGCCGGAATATCATATCACTTTGGTGATTATTCATTCTTATGAATATAAGAGGCTAACCAAGCCCAATATTGTTAGCTCCTGGATGTTAGAAGACACAGTCAAGAGTAAAATGTTTTTGACGAATTGTTTGTTTTCTTGCTTGTTTGCTCATTTAAAACATATCTTTGAAGTACATGGCAGTGGGTTGAATTTTGGACTGTTTTTGATATCCTGTGTTGTTTTAATTGGTGAAGATAGCAACGGAACTTGAACTTGACTTGAACATGCTAGTTCAAGTCAAGTTGCTTTTTAGTGTCATTTGAGCCACAGTACTACACCTTGAAATAAAGTAATGTTCTTCCAGGATCAATGTGTCACAACATAAAAAAAAGAAAAGCACATGGCATTAAAATATCAAATTATATAAAGAATAAAATATACATATCTGTGTGTGTGTGTGTGTGTGTGTGTGTGTGTGTGTGTGTGTGTGTGTGTGTGTGTGTGTGTTTTGAACATGGTGTTAACAGAGATCCAATTTAGCTGTTGCTTCCAATCACACCCCTGCAGGTCTCACTGTCATTGCCCACATTAGTGTTGAAGCACCCCACCTGGGAACTCCATGAAGGTAAGGTACTCTAAACTGTCATTTGGCACATAGGCACAGGCACCTTCCCCAAGCCTGGCTCCAGAGTGAGCCCCGGGGAGGGTGAACTGTTTCCTAGATTTTTCACCCACAGGGGTCTCCTGAATTGCTCGTTGTCTTTTCCCTCACCCAGGACCAATTTGCCATGGGAGACCCAGAGTGAATCCTCTTCTCTTAACAAAAAATAAAGGATCTTTGACAGGTAGCACAGTGTCCTCTTTCTAAAGTAAATCAATCAAGGACCTTTTTATGGAAACTACCAATGCTGTCTGAGTTACAGTACCTCCAGTATAATCATTTGAGGGTTCTGGTGTGGTGCCAAGAGTGATTGTCTGCCTGTGTTTAAGCTGTTAAAAATGACTTTTTGGTCTTTAATCTGTCAAACATATCCCAAAGATGAAAGCGTATATGCAAGTGCAATAAGGAAGATTGGTAATCCCTCACCTGGATGTTTTCCTGCATGCTTAACTGCTAGTCTACCACAGGCCTTTACCCTGGCTCAGAGGTATAAGAATAATCCGTTCATTTAATAATGCTGTTCTTATAAGTACAGTTTCATTAACCATCGCCTTGTACAGAACCTGGGATATCAAGGCAGCCTAGATACCAGCACACATTCGGTAGTAATCAGTAGCATTCACATTCTGGGGGTGGCTGTATCTCCAGTGGTAGAAGAGGGCACCTACTCAGCGGAAGGTTGGTGGTTTAATCCCTGTCTGGTCTGCTCAAGACTACTTGTAAATTCTTGTAAATGTTAGACAGAAACACAGAGTATAGGGGGAAGAAAGCACTAAGAGAAATTCTCTGCAAATGATCTATGGTAATTATTAAAGAGGAAGCTTGATTCCAGGTTCAGCCCATTTTCATACAGGCATCCGTTAATGAGACACCGTATTTTTTCATGGTGGAGAATTGTGCAAGAGACCCTGCTTATGGAGTTTAACAATTCGATCATGTTTAAAAAAGGGAAAGCTTTTTTTGCATTTGCGATCAGAACATCGTGACAGTGTGACCACCTTACTTAAAATTATCATGACTCCACATTTTTGCAGATTTGACTTTTGAAGGCATGTTGTCCTAAACTTTTCATCAGCTGTACAACAGCCTGTTTCAGTTGAAGTATTGTTTTTAATAAATTGCATGCTCAAAAAATGTTTTGTCTCACTCCCATTTCTTCTTTTTGCATGTTGAAGCTCTACTTGAAACCTTGTTAAGATCCAACCATGCCAAATATGTTTGGGGTTTTTTGGTTCTTTTTTTTTGCCATTTATCAAGTGGTCTTAAACTTTTGATTGGGACTGTATATTAAATATACACTATCGGTCAAAAGTTTTAGAACACCCAGTTCTTCCAGTTTTTTATTGAAAATTATGTAGTTTAATGTCTCATTGCATTGTGATGAGTCAAAAACTCCAGGTACTTATTTGTACTATTCTTTCATTTTAAAGTAGCCACCTTTGGAAGATATAACAGCTGAACCTGTGGCATTCTTTCTATAACAAAAATCAAATATTCTTCAGAAAGTTCTTCCCCTATCTGTAAGTTTTGCACTTGCTTTGCTTTCCCTTTTCTGTCCTGTTCCAAAACCAGCTTGATGGGGTTTAAGTCTGGAGACTGTGCTGGTCACTCCATGTTTTCAAGCTTACCATCTTGTTCTTTTTTCCTGAGGTAGTTCTGGCATAGGTTGGACTTATATTTTGGGTCATTATCTTGCTGTAGGATGGACCCCTACATACCAGAGAATATTGAATGGCGCTGTGGTAGCTGTTTTGGTTCAGGGTGCGTCCGACCCTGAATCCAGCAAAACAGCCCCAGACCATCACACTTCCTCCTCCATGTTTGACATGCCACACACTGTGGAAACAGCCTATTCAACAGCGTACAAAGACCCTGTGTAATGAACCAAAGATTTCAAATTTTGATTCAGCAGTCCATAACACCTTCTTCCAGTCTTCATGGCCCAGGCAAGCCTCTTTGTCTTATTCTGATGACTTTGCAGTGGCTTTCAAACCTGCAGCTTAAAGTCTTCTCTTCAAACTTGAAACTGAGACTTGAAACTGCAACCGTTGTTAAGCTGTGCTTGATGCTGTTGTTATGTGGGGAGCCCATCATACAAGCTGTTAACTCTGACAGACAGACTCTGGCAGACCCAAAGCCACAATTGAATGACAGGACAAGTTTCTCAGAGTTTGCCCCAGTTTCTGAGGCCCTTTTGATAGTGAAGGAAACTCTACTCACTGACACCTTTCTTTGCAGTTTCTCTGTAGGAAAGACCTACATTTTATGTTATGATGGTCTGTCTCTCTTCCATTGTTAATTGCTTTTTTCTCCCCATTTTCTACTTTCTGCAGTACAACACTGTTCAACTGATGCTCATGAAGGATATGGTACCACAGTGCGTTCCAACACTGCTTTGATGCAGACAAAGGGGGTTTTAGGTAATACACAAAAGTTGAAACACCTGTAGGAATTAGTAGCACCAGCTTTCAAGGCGTGATCAACCCCCATTGCTCCAGAACAGCTTTAAATTGTCAACCCATTTTGTGTTCCTTTAAGAAGGCCTTCTTGGAAAAATCTTGAAATGTACATTATATGAAAGTTTTGAGTAACCTTACCTTTCTTCTCTTTTTTTTTTTTAAACCTCTGGCAGTTCACCACTGCAATAAATAACTTGAAAAAAAATCTAAATTCTAAAGCCTTTGACCGGTAGTGTATGTGTTTACTTCAGATGGTGCTGGTGAATTATATACAGTAGTTATGTTAAAAAACAGACTACAGATGACAGACTACTAAATCAGAATAAGCATTTGGTTAAACACCATATGTATAAGATTCTAGGGCTGAGCATAGTAACCTCACTTTTAACTCAATTTAGAAGCAGAAAATTAAAGGTCATCCAGGTCTTTCGGTCTTTGAGACATTCCTGCAGTTCAACTAGTTCTATCTGGCTTCATGGATAGATAAAGTTGGGTATCATCTGCCTAGCAGTGAAAATGTATCCTATCCCTTCTAAAATTACTGCCTAGGGGAAGCATGTATAACGTAAACAGGATTGGTCCTAGCACGTAACAAAAATTGGTCTTGGCATGGGCCCAATTAACCATTTGTGAGATTTAAAAATACACTTCTTTTACTTATTGTACATAATTTCTGTAGATTGGTGGCAGATTTTTAAGTGCCTGTTTTGGGGGGAACCCCCACCCCACTACCACCACCAGACAACCTGAAAACAATATCAGAATTTAATTAAAATGTACAAAAAGTGCATTACCATAAACATCTTTTATCAAAAGCAAGAACATATGTTGGAATGGAATAAACAGAATACTGTCCAAAACCTATTAAATTTGATTTTGCATTCATGTGGATCTTAAAGGTAGTGGTTAAAGAGTAAAAATAGCACTGACCATGCAGATGTGGAATGGAGTTAACTGAAATTTTAAACTCTCCACATCCATCCAAATAGCACATGATAAACACAAATGCAGTTCATCTGCATAATTTTGTCTAGCTCTGTACACTGTACAAATTTCAAAACACATTTGCATCTTTTACAAAGGAAAGGGGCTGCCTGGTTTACAGGATCAGACACACAATAGTACAGTACACTGGTGAAATGAAGCAGCCAAATATTTTTGAGGATATAGTAAACCTGGATAAGGATCTAACTTGTCTCTTTAGATATGGTGAAGGTGCTACAAAATAACAGTTGCAATGCCTTAAAACATGTCTACTCCCTGAAGCTGGTATATAGGTACTCTCAAAACAAATTAAACAGAATGAAGAAAAAAACAGATGAAGGTGGGAATAAAATTCAGACTCACAGTATAATGCCAGTTGCATTGTTCAGCTCAATTTTTTAAAGGTTTTAACAGGACAGGTTATGTCTTTTATTATAGTAAAACTTCAGCATATGGCACTGCATTTAGAAACTATTTCGAAACTATTATACAGGCAAATGCAAGACTAATTTTTACTATATAATAATCTGCCATTATTTTTCAAGAATGTTGGAAGCAGTGGCGTGTCTAGAAAATTTTTGTTGGGGGGGCC